AGGGACTCAGGTGAGAGGAGGTCTGATGAGATGGTGGCTCAGGATTGACTGTAGAAACATGCTGCCCTCTGGAGGAATTTTGTATGGACTGGTTTCGGCTTCATAAATATTCTAAGTGTGTATTAAAGAGCAACAATCCACAAAGTGAGCAGATCTCAGTTGCTTTGCTCCACCTCACGCTGCTCGCCCCCTCAGGACAAGTTGGAGAGCGTACTGGACGTGTCCCACCAGCAGATGGAGCAGTACCAGGAGCAGCCGGCCCACGCCCACAAGATCGCCTACCAGCAGAGGCTACTGCAAGAAGATCTGGTGACCATCAGGGCCCAAATATCACGCCACTCCACGGTATCTATGCTTGTGTGAGCATGAGACAGTGTGTCAGATTCACATAGAATGTATATATTGAATTATTGTGTCCAGTCCCAGTATATTTGACTATATAAAGTACCAGCATGTTTGTTTGTTTGTTTTTGTGCTCAGTTTGTCAAATGTTTCTGTACATGTGTTCTTCTGAATGCTATTTGTGTCTATGTATGGACATGTGCCATAGGTTTGAGTGTGTCTGCACTGCTGCCACTAATTGGGTTTGTGTAAATATAAACGTCTACCGGAGGACATAACAGGATGTAAAAATGCATTTTCTACACTGTGTGCTTCAGGCGCTACATGCATCACAAGACTGTGCATGTGTGTGTTTTTGTAATGCAGGAGATGGCACATGCCTGGGAGGAGTACAGCAGGCTTGAGAAATCAGTAGAGCAGTTGAGGATGGCACTGCAGGCACATATGAACCACAGCGCCACCCCGCAGGTGAGACCTGCTACTGCAGCTAACAGCACGTCCGCCTCCAAAGTGGCTCTGGCTTTTCAACTAATCCTCTGAAATCCAAGAACCCATTTTTTGGCGTTCCTGTTACATTTTTGCTCCCTGTGGCTCATTTTTTACTGCAAGATAGTCGACAACTCTTGTGCCTGTATGGAAAGAGCACAGCCATGCCTAGAAGTAGATAGAACTCAAAAATGTGTTTTGTTCCGTATAACAGAGTGTAATATCACAAATCATAAAAAGGACAAATGAAAGCTGATTTTTTTTTAATTACCTATTTTACAAAAACTGAAAAAAAAAAAACTAAAATCAACATGTACACCATTTTTCCAAATGCTCACGACTGTTACTGATACTGGAATGATGCCTCTACATAGTTATTTTGCTGCTTACATTTTTAGTATGTCATCATACTTGTCCTCTGCTGCGTAAACACAGCCAGTAGCTCACCTGAAAAGTCTCTGAATTTTTGTCACATGACTTCATTTTTGTTATGAGGAGCGTTGAATTATTTGTTGTGGTTCATGTGAAAGTGTGGTTCATGAAAACAATTTAATTGCTGCACATTTTGAAATGGGACATGTCAAAAAAAGTGTTTTTGATTAAATTTGATGATTTTATGCTCAGATTTGGTTAAGTTTCCAAATAGAACATCGACAATCTAAATTAATGCTGTGATTTTGGCGATTTTTAAAAACAAAAACAAAAGCAGCCTTTCAAACCTGCGAGCTGGCTTTCGGGTTCAGAGGGTTAAAGTATCTCACTTTGCTTGTAGGCTGGATTGCGTATGCAGCATGTGTGACCTTTAAAATGTCTGTATTTACTTATATATTTATTTTATTTATTTATATATTTCAAATAACACTGAACAATTATCTATTTAGTTCTTACACTTGCTGTTATGTTACAACTATTTAAAGGACACAATTTGAAATGGTTGAATGTGCAACATTGAAAAACAAAGTGAAAACTACAAATGACAAGTGACTGGGGTTTGTTTGTGTCTATGTGTTATTATACAGCAAGAGAAAGCTGAGATGAAGCGGGAGCTGTGGAGGATCGAGGATGTGATGGGTGGACTGAGTGCCAGCAAAGCCAACTACAAGATCACAATTGACTCAGTCCAGAACCCAGGTGGGAAGACCAATGCAGCCAGACAGCTGATACTGAGACAGGCCATTTAATGCAGTCATTGACAAGGGTGTAAAAGTTAGTCAGAGAATTATTAAGATCCAATAAAGGTCCTCACTCATTCGTCTAGGTATTGATCTCCGCTCTGCACTCGCTCCATGTGTGCTGTAGAGCTTTAGAGCTGTCCTGAGATTTATTAATAATAATAATAATAATAATAATAATAATAATAATAATAATAATAAACTTTATTTATAGAGCACCATGCTTACAAATATTTGAGCAGTCACATATTCAAAGAAAGTTGGCAAAGGAGTGTTAAAAAATGATTGATGTTCTCTATGCAGTATGTTGTGCTGTTTGTTATCTGTGAACAGTGATTTTAACTCTGTGGTTACACTCGTGATATTATTTCTGAGTTAACAAGGCTGTGTTAGAAGAGTAGATTTCACTTTGGAGCTACAGACAGACAGAAAATTATGCAGCTTTTTTCTGTTTGATTGGAATTTATCTACACTTGTTTTTGTCAAATGCTCTCTGTGTAAATTGATCAGAAATTCTCCATGTTCTGCTGACATTTAAAAACGAAACTTTGATTTCTGTGCACCTCCTTCACCAGAGAGGAAACTAGTGCCTTCGGTGTCAGACCCGGCAGTGCCTTCTCACAGCGCAGAGGTCCAGCCTCCTCCTCGCAGCTCCATCCCCACCATCATGTCCTATACTTTGCCTCACAGCACCGTGCCAAAGTGGGTGAGTGTCCCCCTTCTACCTATCTTCGTATTAAGTTTCAGGAACCGCTGCTGGTTTCATTAATGATTCTGAGACCTTCATGGGTTAAACTCTGAAAACCTAATTGTCCTGGTTGCTGTACAGGCAGAGGACAGCGCCCCACCCAGGCCACCACTGCCTCGCCTCTACGACTATGAGGAGACACCTCCTGTGGTGCCGCCCCTCCCCAAAGAGGCCTCAGTCATACGCCACACGTCCGTGCGTGGGCTGAAACGCCAGTCAGATGAGAGGAAGAGGGACAGGGAGAGTGGGCAGTATGTTGCTAATGGAGACTGCAAGGTACGCTGTCGTTTTATGTTTGTTCTGTGGAAACCTTCTACACACAGTTTGGGCAAATTAAATATTTCAGTTGTTTATATTGTACTTTGTTATTCTTCTCTGTGAGTTTAGAAATCATATGTACGGCTGTTGGGATCTGTTTGAAGAGAAAGGACTTGGCCTATCAGTTCACCTGTTTAACCTTGTTTGGTTTCAGACTGACTTACGATCATACCTGAGTGAACCAGAGCTGCCAGGAATAAGCCACCACAACGTGGGGTCTGATATTGACTACCAGTACTCCCTCAGCAAAGGTATCTGAAGAGCTGCATGTAAAATAAATATTTTGCACATTTGCCTGGAAACATTTCTATTACCTCGACCATTTTATGAATGCCAGTGTTTCCCCTGCAGTGTCCCACTACTTAGCTGCAGCTTATTTTGAATGTGAAACGTAGATACTGAGTAACCCCTTTTCTTATCGGTAAATTTTGACACTCTTGCTTACTATACTTGCCATGTTGTAAAAGAGGGTGTTACTAGAAAATGTTTTCCCTGCAAGCATTAAACAAACTCCTAGAGACGTTAAATATGGCTTGACGAGTGTCTACTAGGTCGATAAAATACCTATTGTAATAAAAAAAAAAAAAACACACATTTTTTTTTTCAGACTGAAGGATTTATTTGTTAAAATGTAGAAAATGTAGTACTCATCTTGCTAATACATTATCCTATAGTCACAGAATTACCAAAAGCCTAATGCTTTTTACTAAACCATGTGATATTTTCTCAAAAAAAAATAAATAAATTTAAACCCTCTGAAGCCCCAAAACCCACTTTTGTGTTTGTTAAGCAAGCTATTAAAAAAAAAAATTACCCAACAATGCACTATTAATCAAAGCAAGACACTTTAAAAACAGAAGGAATCATTCGATTTAAACTTTTCTGAGGGTCCATGAAGGACTCATCTTTGATCACTTTATTTTATATGTCTGCAAAAAAAATTCACCAACACTACACCCTTTGTACAAGCTAGATTCCTTAAAAAACGAAAAATTCTGCAATAGACGGTGCAATCGTAAGGCCATTATTGACTAACTGGGCTGAACTGCAGTTCTGTGCGTACACAACAGATAGAAATAGATAATGGACAGGAGACAAATATGGAAACAAGTCAAAAATGAGTGAGCAAAAAGTGACAAGAGCAAAAACAACAACAACAAAAAACAACCAGAAATATAGAGTTTAGAGGGTTAAATAGTTTTAGCATTTAGCAGTTAAGGTATTTATTTTTTCTGACACATTCTCCTATATATTTCATGCCTCACATAGAGCGGTGGGCAGAACTTTTGTGTCTGTTGTTTCATCTGACATACTTAATCTGTACATACATTCTTTTTTTCCACTCTGATGCTCTGTTATCACTGTGAAAATAAAACTAAACCAAAACTATTCTTGTCCCATTGTTACCATTAAGGTCTACCAGGCTCCTCAACTCGTCTGAACCAGTCCAACTCCATCTCATCTTACGTCACCCTAAGGCGAGGCCCCGGGAGCTCTGCAGCAAAGGTGAGTCCAGACAACAAAGGTTCAGGTGTCTGCAGGTATCAGGGAATCACAGGTTATTTCAGTGTTTGTCCATACCTGGTTTTAATGGAAACTGTGGGTGAAAAAGAATCACCGCTCTCAAAACGAGGAGGTTGAAGTCAGCGTCTCTTTATTCAGCAGTGCACAGGATGTCACACAACACAGAGATACGGGAGAGGAGCTCCCCGAGTAAAAGGACTGTCAGTATTTATATTCTCCTTATCATGCCACCTATGGAGGAACAAGTTTTCTCTGTTCTTAGACAATTTGGCTTGTCATGGGAGGATTGCTTCATGTTTCTCTTTCACCTTGCATAGGACAGTATCAGTAATTTCCTATCTCTCTAGGAACTCCGTCACATTCTCACGACTAATAAGCCACCTGGAGAAACGGAAAAACAGTCCTCAGTATTTTTCCATCAGAAATTCAGTGTAAATCGCATGTTTGATGGCACGTTTTCAGTTTTAAGATGTACAACTTGACCCCAGTGAAAAGTTTTGAATGCTGGACAGTGGTGAAGATGATGTTCTTATGTGTTGTAGACGGTTGGCTGTAGATTGTTTGTGTGAGCAATAGAAACAGATGACAAAAGGTTACTTTTATAACTGCTGCTATTCCACCGTCCTGTTTTACTGTCACATCTCTGCCACTCCTCATCTTGTCACCAGGTACTAACCATCCTTCCCCTCTCTCACGCCCATCCCATCCTTGTACCAATTCTCCCCATGTCTTTACTCCATCCTTGTCTCCCCAGGAGAGACCCAAGAGTGCTTTTGAGCGTCTGTCATCACCCACCGAGGCCCTGCAGCTCCCAAGCAGCCAGTCTCGAGGCCGAATGACTGCGGAGGAGCAGCTGGAGCGGATGAAGCGACACCAGAAGGCACTGGTTCGTGAGCGCAAGAGGAACCTCAGCCAGGGCGAGCGCTCCTACACGGGCCTCTCCACCTCCACTGCCACCACCCAGCGCTCCTCATCCTCCTCCAGGCTGCCCTCTAGTGGCTCCGACCCGCCGACCTCCGTACGTTACCCCCCACCACAGCGCAGCAGCAGCAGACACAGGGAACACCAACTTCACCACCAATGCTGCTACGCCACCCTCCAACCGCCAGCCACATAATAACCTAGCAGGAATGCTAACACACTAGCACTCCCTGCCTTGTGTAACCAGTGGTTGTTGATGGTAGCCGCAAGTACTAACAGTCTAAATGACAGGACTGACCCTGGCTGGCTAGCTAGCTAGCTTGGTTAACGCTTTAAGAAGAGTGGGAGACTAAATGAGCACAGGGGATTGTGGGGAATGCTTAGCTAGTTTTGGACTGGGACAAAGTTGATCCCTGTTTATTTTATTTCCTTTTTTTAAAAATGGTTCAGGGGTTTAAGTGAACCTTATTACCACTGCCCCCTGGTGGGACCTCACTGACACAATTCTGAATGTAAATCCATGGAGAAGAGAAGAGAGGGGAAGGCAATCTGCCTTCCTATCTCTGTTTTGATCACCAGAAAGTAGAGAGAGAAGCCCATTTATGTACATCTACATACCGTGTACTTGTACACTTTTATTTATTTACTGAGTAATATTTTCAGTATACAGTTGTACAGTTATATTTTGTAGAGATTTGGTATATAGATCATATAGAGGAGCAGGGGAACTGTTGGAAAAAGAAAAAAAATAGGCTTTCAGGTTGATGAAATGAAGAAAGAGGCAATGTTAGTGGCACAAATCATGATCACACCTCCCTGCTTTCTTTTCTTCAAATGAAATCCAAGTGCCTTGTTTTGTTGAAGATCTTTTTGCCTTTGTCCCAAATTTACCTCCTTTACCAACAATTTCGTTTCATCATGGTTTCTTTAAAACATGCGTCCACACTTCAAAATCATTTAAACAATGCAAGAAGCTACCTGTAAGGTAGCTTTTCTGCGTAACAGCAGAATTTAGTCAGGAAGATGTGGGGACACTGCTGGTTTTAATCCCTAAAGGAAGACTTTGACATTTGACGTTGAGACTGAATCTAGCTTCGGGCGAGCTGTGCTCCTTGGTTTTAATGACGAATGCTAGCAGTGCTAACATGCTTGGGTGAAAAAAATGTAATAAAATTCAAAATGTCAAAGTCTTCCGTTAAGATAATATGACACATAATAACTACTAGACTGGTATTATGATTACAGACTAACACACATGATTAACCAAACTGTGCTGTGAGAGCTGCAAGTAATTAGACTACATTTCCCATAAATCCTTGAAATCAAGTGTCCCTGTAACAGTAAGCAATACATAGTTTTTCATCTTCTGCTACTACTTTTCACCTCTTTAAAATAATAACATATATTTCATTTTCTTCAACCAGCATAAAACATGTTTACATAATTTGAACTGACATCTTCATCACTACAGCCTTTTCTTGTGTGGACAACGAGGTTTCTTTTATCGTTTCACAGTAGGTGATAGTTTCATTGCCACATTTAAAGTTGGAGAAAGAAGCTGTATTTGCATCTGAGTAGTTCAAAGTGGCCTATGCTGTGCTGTTTTATGCATCATTAATATACAGAACAGGTTCAAGCAACTGGGCTGAAATGCAATAAAAGAAGAAATAAATGTGAACAAGGAGCAGGCAATGTTATCATGGGAGATCTGTGTGAAAACAATGAATTTGTCATGTGGCAGTATTTGGTTTGTGTGAAATACATTTAGATTTTTCCTTCATCTTTGTCAGTGGCATCTTGAAAACTAGAGAAAAAACTAATTTGCCTCATTAGAGCAACAGAAAACCCAGAGATATTCAATTTACAATGATATAAAAGAGACAAAAGCAATAAAATCTGCAAGAATTGTTACATTTTCTGTTTACACTTGTCTTTGCAGATGTATATATGTAGAGGATTCTCCTAAAAATCCATGTGCTTCATTCTTCAGTTCTGATCTTCCATGAAGCTGCTGTTCGCTCCTTGTTTTTTGACAAGTATTAATTTCAAAAGCTTTTCTGCCATATTGCTTTTATCTTTCCACAGCTACATCCATTACATCAGATCAAAGAGAGAAATAGTAACAGGAGATTGCTCAGTTGAAAAGTAGAAATACAGTAGAAAACTTAGAGAAGTGAACTGCTAATCGCCACCTAATTCTGTGTAATTGAGAAGCAACACACAACTCTTTTCCCTTTTCTTTTCTATCATGTAGAGATTTGCACTCGACAATAAAGAGTTTCTTGCTTCTGAACCACCTCTTGGCTGTGTTCTTCCTAATCCGGTGGAGGTTTGATGAATCTGTGTCTGCATGGTTTTCGCTCTTCTCTTTGTGCCCTTCTGTGTGCGATTGATTCTCCTGAGCGCAGCAAGGCATGGGATGCAGTGTTTCTCAGAGCATGTGAACACACCAACAGATCAGACCCTGCTGCAGGCTACTGGAGTGGGAAGGATGCATGCATGGCTTTGATGCTCCTTGGATGATTACTCACAAGTACCACACACACACACATACACACACGCACACACACAGCGCTTGTCAGGGAACAAAAGTATTTTTATACTACAAATGCAAAAGTGGTGGTGTACATCGGAGAGAAGGATGTGGTTTGTGTGTGATTACAGCTTCCAGAAACACACACTAATCATCTTCCTGGGTCCCTTCTGTGGTATTTCTACTAAACATCTTCCTTTCAGATCCTCAGATCTTTGAACTTCTTGTTACAATTATTCCTTGTTGCACATAAGTGCGAAATTCACATTTGTCTCCCTCCACTATATATTCCATATAAATATAAATCCCACTGTTTTTTGATACAAAGACGTCACTGTCCTCCTTTGACCGTCCTGCTACTGTTCCACTTGGGTTTGTGTTCTTTTTCTCGAGAGAATAAACATGTTGCAAGTCATTTCATTAACTTTCACAGATCTAAAATACAACGGCTGCAACTAGCTGCTGCATACTATTTTCTTGGTTATATTTTTGATCTAAATATTGTTGGAAAACACGCCCATGATTCTTCAAAGTGCTTGTTTTGTCAGATCACCTGTCACAAGACCCCCCGATATTCAACCTCCTATCAAAAAAGATTAGGACATCCAACAATCTTTTTTAGTTTAAGAAGCTGGAACCAATAAATTGCTAGAATTTAACACTTTTCAGTCACTTAGTTATGAAGCCTATTAAATTAATAAGCTACCAGTTCAATAACTGATTAATGAACTAATAATAGCTGTAAAACTAGAGGCTTTAGCTTCTTTCATGTAAAGTATATAATCTGTTTTCACGTTAACTTCAATCTTGCAGATATTCTAGCAAACCTGACCTGGTGGCATAATGTGGAAACATAAATTCTATTCTAAGAACCTAATATAATAATAAACATGCTGAGACATACTTATCTGTCTAATTTATATTTAACTTCAGTAAAAGACTGAATTTGTTCATCAGTCCTCCTGCTAGCTGTGTAATTGACTACGGCTCCTTCCAGGTGTTCGACTGGCAGGAGGAGCGACCCGGAGCAGAAGGTCAGAGCGATGAAGGGTGGAATCCAGTCAAAGAGAGGCGGAGGATCCAGTCAGATGAGTGGGTGATGGCCACGGCTACACGCATACGAGAGGTGGACGTGGAACCTCTTGACTACGACTTGGATATCAGCCGAGAGGTAGACACACATCCGATCTGTCTCAGTCATGAAGAATAAATGGGAAGCCAGAGGCAGAATCAGGATCAGAGACACACCAAGACATAAATCTTCTAACTGCTCCTCTATTCTCATACATCAGGTTGAATCTCTTAACAGATTTTGCCTTAGTTGGTTCTCTTCTTCTATCTATTTTCCTCCTTATAAAGAGGTTTCCATGAAAGAGAAGAGTCAGAGTGAAGGAGTACGATTTAACCCCTTAGATCTTCTGTCGGCAAGAAAACCTTACAACCCAGACATCCAGTGACTGTCCTTAAAGCAGGAGACTACTGTAGAAGACTGACTACATGTCTGTCCAACATGCAGCTGTCCAAACCAAAGAAGGTTCCCATCCCAGAGCGCTACATAGAGTCTGACCCTGAGGAGCCTCTCAGTCCAGAGGAACTGGAGGAACGCTCCCGTCGAGCTGAGCGCATCAAGAACCTGCTGACCAAATCCAGGTAGAAGCAAAAAAAAAAAAAAAACAAAACACTGGAGATGGTTTGATAGTGTTTCTGCTTTTGCTGTTTCCCTTTACTGCTGGGGATGCTGTACAAGTTCAAACTGGGTGTTAAAGTCAACTGTACACCAGGTGGGAATTATCTTCTTTTTAAAAAAAAAAAAAAGAAGAAGAAGAAGAAGCATAAATCACACCATTTCTCAGAGCCAGAAACAGAGAGAATCAGCGGCTCACCGGTCTCTGTGCTATTCATGTGTGATGTGCTTTTCCATCTGGTAAATGAGCCAGATCTAAACCTAAAATAGTGGTATTTCAGTAAATTCACTTTATTCTACACGTCTTGTTTAAAAATGTAGAAAGAAGGTTTACATCTGATTCTGGGGGAAAAAAAGAAAAAAAAAATCTTTCTCAGCGCAGTTAAAAAGATACGAGCAACTCAACTGCGACCAACACTTAAATGACAAACTTCTGAGTCTTCAGCTGAACTGCAGGCTGTGTTTATACAGAGCAGATAGGAGCAAGTATGGAAATAAATGAAAGATTTAAGCTGTAAAATATCTTTAGTGTGCAGAGGGAACATGTTTTCCTACTTTGGGTAACGCCTGTAATCACTTGTAAAAATGTTGTAGATGTTGATTCCAGGTTTGTTTGGCTTTTTTGTGTGAAATAATTAATCAAAGAAACTAAACACTATTTTTTTTGTATTTTTTCATGATTTATGTACTGCACAGAGGACAATGTTTAATTATCTGTTCTTCTAGTCATGGTTGTGCTGTTTCCATAGAGGTGCAGGACTTTATATTGCAGTGAAAATCAGCCCAATGAGGAAAAATGTGAAAACTACCCTGAAACTGCTGGGTTCAGCGTGTTCATACCATCAGAAACGTACTCATTTTACAATTATCAACCTTCTACTACAATGATTTTAAAGGAATATAAAGTAAATGCAGCAATTTTCTCAGTGTGCTTCAGTGAGCAAGCACTCCCAGACCTGTCATCATGTCCATCAGGGACACATGTTCATTAAGTGTGTTACTCAGTAATTCATAGGTTTACAGTCGTGTGTGTGAATTTGTCTTCTCCACAGCGTTCAGAACATTCAGCCGTCTGCACCGCTGGACTTCACTGAGCTGGACTCGGCTCTGCAGCAGCAGGAGAGGATCATGAACGTGTCCCAGGTGCTGGCTTCAGAGGCGTCACGCAAAGGCAAACAGGTCGCAGGTCAGTTACATCACTGCACCTCACTGAGGCCTTCATTTACATAACGCAGCAGGACCAACCGTCACAGCAATGACACATGCCTTCTCCAAACCCACAAACTCCACTAGCAATAATCCTAACTTTTAATCCAAGTCAGCCCTCAAACAACCTCACAGCAAAGTAAACACCTGTCAGGAAGTCCTTGCTTTATAGAACTGTTCAACTGTGATCCTCAACATCAGGAAATGCAAAAACACAGACACAGTAAATTTGTTAAAACACTGAATTCCATGTTCCCACTTAATGCAAGAAAATGAGGGATGACAATGTGATTGCCTTATGCTAAAATAAATGTGTAGCTGAAATCGCTTCTTATTTTATTCATGATGCTCATGGCGCTGTGGTACAGTGGTGGATTTTAGCAGAAATAATCCCAGACTGGATTCATGTATTTGTGGTTGTCCCTGGTGTGCAGGGACTGACTGGCTGGAGAGTCGGTGAGCATGTCTGGTCCAGGTACATATGTCCTGACCTCTCTCTTATGTTGTGTGTTATTTATGTTGTGTATTCATTGTGTGTGATGTTGTTGTGTTTGGGTCAGGGATGTGCACAGATTGGTGAAGGAAGCATTCTTAGACTCCTAAAACTCATTTACTTTTTTTTCTTTGAAAATCCACAAGTGGTATAACTGACATAATTCTGCCTTCCTTATTTTGCCAAGTCTCTAAAACATCTGTGCACAGTCCTGGTTTCTTTGTTTTGGGTGTTATTCTAGCCAAAGAGTATTAGGGGCAGATTTCACAAAGACATTTTAGACTAGTGTTTAATTTTATACTAGTGTAAAATATCAAAAATAAAGAATGAATTCATTAAGCCTAACTTATTGTTATTAACCACCTGACCCCTGGGATACCTTAGAACAAAGCATCACAATAAGGTCTGCACAATAGGCTCCAAATAAGTCATTAAACCTCTTTTAAAACTTTAAAAATGTTGTTAAAGGTTACTTATTTGGAGCCTCAAAGTGTGTAAACCTTTTCTGACCTGTAGTTATGTCTCTTGTCTCATCCCTTGAAAATCTGCGTGGATGTGTGCACATTTGGGACCTCTCTCTTTCAAAAAAGGTGAAAAACAGCACTCATAATATACATCTTTCATAGCAAACATGATGATTTGTCACAGCAGGAAAAGAACAGGTGGATTAATGATGGCTGCATTCCACTTAGGTTAGGCCCTGCGTTTGTGTGTGCAGGTTTGTGATCCTGGCTTACTGGGACACTTACTGGAACTGAGCCATCGATTATTTTTAATGAAAAAGGCCTGTTTTTCTGACAATATCATGGAGCAAGCAGTAAGAAGGGAAACCGTTTTTTTTTTTTTTTTTGACCGAGCAGTGTTTTTCAAAATCTTTTTTTTTGTGACATTATTGTTCATCCTACTTAAGGCAGTCAAGACCCAAACAACTTTGTGTAACTGATGAATTTACATATAGCTGATAGTTTGATCTAAGTCATGATCAAAGTGTCTTTGTGAAACCAGCTCCAGGTTTTTTCGTAGCTGTTGTTGTGATCAAAGTGGCTGAGGTTTCAAAAATGCTGCGTTGGTGAAATGTGGTGGTCTTCTGTATGCAGAATGTGTTTCGGTGCAGGTTGTGTGTGTTTTCTAGGTCAAATTTATAAGAGCACTTCATGGAGTTTTTACTGAATTAAAAACATTGATACTACATGTGCACAGTAATTTGTGCAGCTCCTACATCACGACAGAAAGTGTTCGACTGCTGTGAAGGAGTCTCATGTCAAGCAGTTGTAACAGACGACTTGTTTTGTTTGTTTTACTGTCAGTTTCATAATGCAGGTAATATCTGAGCAGGAGCTATTTAACACAGAAGATGTTCCAAACTATTTAAATTATAAACTATTACAATGTACATGTGAAAAGGTTTGTGTAACCTGTTTGATATGGATTCTTACACAAATACAATATGTTTAATTTACATAAGTACTACTGATGCAAATTAAACATGTCGTGTTTGTATTTACAGACTGGTGCTAAATCAAAGGAAAAACCTGAATGTTTGTCTCCTACAGTGAACAGATATGATGTTTCTGTGATGCTATGGGGGCATTTTGCTGGTCTGGTTTGGTTCCACTTGTCCCTTCAGAGGAAAGCATCACTGCAAATACATAGAAAGTAGTTCTGAGTGATCACCTTTATCCTATGATGAAACATTTCTCTCCTGAACGGAGTGCTCTCTTCAGGAAAGACAATGTCTCCATCCAGAGGACATAAGGATCACTGAATGGTTTGATGAAGATTATGTGATTCACATGCTGTGAACTTCACAGTCGCCAGATCAATCCAGTAGAAAATATGGAAGACTTAGAATCAAGGCAGCACCCCCCACCATCATCATCAAAACAACAAATGAGGGAATATCTGTTGAAAGAATGATGTTCATTCTTCCAGTAGAGATCCAGAGACTTGGAGAACCAATTCCAAGCTGCATTTAAGCTGTTCTGATAGCAGGTGGTGGCCTCGCCTTATTAAGACACCTTTTCCTTTAATTTGTCGCCTGTCTGTGTTATAACATGACTGCAGTCAGAGCTACTGGTCTCACTACTCTATTTTCTCCTCCTCAGCCAAAGCTGCTGTTGAGCACTGACCCACAGGAACAACCAACACCACAGAACAGAAGAGATTCTTTGTGAAGAGAGTGTAAGAAGGAGGGATCCAAACAGTTATCAGCCAACTAACTGATTCACCTTTTTTATGACTGACAAAAAACACATTTCTTAAAGAGTTTTTAATTCATAGTTTTGAAATGGTATCTAGTTTTCTTGCTTCTGCACTTACATTGCACAGATAAGTAATAATTTATAACACGAGTGAGTTGCTTTTTTTTATCTGCAGTTACCTGGTCTGCAGTTTGGTCTGAATTTTTCAGAAGTGAAATGAAAGCCTGTGCCAACATATTCAGGTTGCAGTGGGAATGTTTTGACATGAATTGTTTATTTATTACATTGTTTGGCTTCTGTCAGCACTGTCACTCAATGATCACAGTCCTGTCAATCAACTCAAGTGCATTACAGTATGTATGTAATAGTTTAAACACAAAAAATAAAACCTAAAGATTGAAAAAAAAATGTTAGCTACTGGGTGTCAGTCTCCTTGAATTGTTTGATCAGTTGTATTTTTAAAATCATACATGACTTTCTCAGGTTATACACTCAAACAAATACATTTTTCTTTGTCATAAGTTGAATAAACCAAAGCATTTACTAACAGGATAATCAAATTATTTCCCTGATCCTTTGAAAGACATACCTGCATTTGATTGTACTTAATGTTGTTGCATACCATAATATACTGTGCCCTGTTTAATCTTTGTACACTGTTCTATTATGTCCCAGAAGACTACACAATATTCAAGGTAAGATCTAAATATCAAGGTCAGCTAAACCTCTGTGACCAGGCTTCCCCACTGCAGATTCAATGGGTTTGATTTACAATGCATACTTGGTGTTGCACTGGGGATACTATTAATTACATCTCGTTACACCTCTAATCAATGGCCTCCAGGCAGTGATGAAACAATGTGATTGCAGATTCAAGAGGCTGAATTTGCTTTCCTTCGGATCGGCCTGGGTGAGACACTTAGATATCCCAGAGGAGGGTTCAATACATAGGAGCTGTGATAGCTAAGTGGAAACTGGAAGCTTGGGGATGATGTCTCCTGCTGCATACAAAGCAGTGGCCTTTCAGAGTAAGAAGTTTTACACTAAATATACACACAGTACAAACGATCCCCAGTGAGAGGTCTTCTATTGATTTAGAGATCAGAAGTAAACACAAAGCTGTCTGTAAACGCTTCATTTTCCCCATAATGTTCACACAATTGTCCTATTTTTAAGCCTTCATGTTTTTCTATGGACATACACAATGAACATGAGTGTTTAAGGCATTTCTGGCTGACACAAAGTTAATGCAGAATCTGCAAACCCCAGCCTGAAGCCTGGATAAAGCGGCTCGGAGAACTCGGTGTGGAAAGTGTGCAGGTGAGTCATGGTGTGTGACGATACGGCGTAGAAGGAAAGAGTGCCAGCTGACCAGTCCAAGAACACTCCAACCCTCTTGGAGTTGAAGTAGGGGACAGATATGGGTGCGTCATTCTTATTGTACCAGGCAGTGTATTTTCCGTGACAGTATCGCAGACTCCATGATTGATCGTTGTAGCCAAGGACACATTCGTTACCTTTTGCTTTCCTGCTGATTCCTTTGTAAGACACTCCTATACCTGTCCATTCCCCAGTCCACTCTGCTTCCCAGTAGCAACGATCGCTCAGACCCTCTGCACAAAGCACTTGGCCCCAGTCTGTAAATCTGTCTGGGTTGTCGGGGTATGGCTGAGCAGTTTCCACTCGTGTCATTTTCTTGTTGTCTTCAGAGAAACGCAGATGTGAATGGGCTGTATTCGGCTCCATAGTCAGCTTACATGCATCTGGAAACAGTGACATTAAAGGCATAAAATACAGTTTTTTAAAGATTTTTTCAGTTGTGCCCATGTACAGTTGTGAACAAAAGTGTACATACACTTGTACAGGCCATGTATATCAGGGACGTTCTGACTTTTCCAATGACTTCTAAAACCCTTTATTTTCTGTGATGAACTTTGTGACTTTATTTGTAAGAAAGATTCATGTGTTTCCAGCACTTCATCATAGAAAATTAAAAGTTAAAGACGTCAATGGAAACTCAGCACTGCCATATTATACATGGCGTTTACAAATGTGTGTCAACTTTTGTTCACAACTGTACAATATTCTAGCCATACATAGTGCTTATCTAGAGTATTCACCTCTCTTGGAAGTCATTTCCTTTTATTTCTCCTCAACACTGAATCATGGTCAATTAGTATTGACATTTTGGACAAAAGTTTACAAAGAAAAACAAACAGATTTTTGCATTTTTAATCATTTTCAATTTAATTTGATCAACTAAAAATGTAAAACACAAAATAAGTGATTTCGTTGGTAATCATTCCATGTAAGTCATCAGGTTGTCCTCTAGAATTTCCCTTTACTTCGCTGCATTCATTTTACCCTGTACCTTCACAAGCCTTCCAGGGTCTGCTCCTTAAAAGCATCCCCACATCATGATGCTGCCACCACCATGCTTCTCTATGAGGATGGTATGTTTGTGATGATGTGCAGTAGTTAGGGTATGCCAAACATAGCGTCTAGTTTGATGACCAAAAAACAAATTTTGCTCTCATTGGACCAAAGAACCTTCTTCTCATTGATTTCAGTCACCTCCTTGCCTTCTGGTGGACTCCAGTCGAGATTTAATATGAACACTTATGCAGTTATTTCATATTTTTCGTTAATGTACATAACTTTGTAAAGATTTGTCATTTTGACTTAAAAAGTTGTTGTTGTTTTTTTCTAAAAAGCCTAATTAAATTGACTATGATTAAATATTGAAAAGCAATACAAAGGGAAAACTTCCAAGGGGGTGCTGTGCTTTCTATAGGCCCTGGATGCACATTTTTGACAGTTTGATTGTCAGTGTCAATAGTCATTGACTTGCATGTTTGTAGATAGAAAGCTTACATTTCTTCAGAGATGATTTTAAGTAGCACTCCTCATTGTTGTCCACCCTAAAAACATAAAAGAGAGATCAACAACAAACATGTTCTACTTTGTGTTACATAACAAAACCAAAAACATCTTGTGACATTTAATGCGAAGTAATACCTGATGGTGAGGTGTTCGATGTCCTTCTGTACAGAGGACAGCAGCTCTATCCCCAGTTGTCCCAGATGATTGTAACTCAGATCCAGTTCCTTCAAGTAGGAGGGATTGGACCGAAGAGCCGTAGCCAAAAAGCCACAGCCAATCTCTGTGATTCCACAGAAAGGAAGCCTGAAATTGTGAGCAAATTTAATGTAAGTCAGAGAACGCAATATAAAATGTTCTTTCCTCAAAACCAAGTTTGTTTCAGCTGAGTAGTAATGGATTGTCACAAACATTCAGCACCAGCACATTTTTGCAAACCTAAGTTTTTCCAGCTGGCACGTTGGACTCGCCAGTCCAGCAGACAGCAGTTTTACTCCTGAGTCTCGCAGGTCATTGTCACTCAGGTCCAACTCCTTCAGATGTGAACTGCTCAGAACTGCTCCAAGCGCATCGCAGCATTTCTCCGTGAGGTTGCATTCTTTGAGCCTTTCAAAATAAAAATTGAAACATGTATTAGAATTATCTGTTAAATTATTAGTTTTAGGACATAATAACCACAGAGAAATTAAACACTTATCGACCAGATCTGAAGCACTCACAATAGTTTTTGATTAATCTGAATATATAATTTACCACAGTGTAGAAAAAATGCTCAATTACAAGTACAAAAATGTATGCAAAATGACTTAAGACCACACACATATACTGCAACTGGTCTTAATGGGTTAAGCCAAAGTTCTTATAGTAAATAGCCAAAAGGTTTAACAGTGTCTCAGCAGTAAAGACAGAATGACGGATTAATTAAACACTAGTCAGGAATTTTGGTCTTACATTTGATAGAACACTGTCATCACCACCATTATCCTTATAGATACATCTGGCAAAACATATTTACACTTTGAGATGCAATGCTTACCACATGTACAATAATCTGACATCCCTGTATGACAAAATCTCAGACCTGAGTTTAAAAGTTATGTTTGGTTAATGCTTATGATAGAACGATGCTCTTCTTTACTTACAAGGCTGCTCTGGATTCTTTAATCACGGATGACAGCTTCAGAAGACCTTCGTCTGATCTTGAATATTTCCTCAGGTCAAACTCATCCAACTCCTCCTTCGAAGTCAGCAGCACAAAGCCTAGAGCAGACCACTGTGACGGTGACAGCGTGGTCTCTGACAGGCTGCCAGAGCTCAGGTAGTTTTGGACTTCCTCCACAAGGGAATGATCATTGAGCTCACTGAGGCAGTGGAAGAGATTAATGCATCGTTCTGGGGAGGGATTCTGCCTGATCTTCCCCTTGATGTATTCAATGAGTTCCTCATTTCTTGGTGAACTGCTCTCCAGTGTGGGGAGAACACTCTTCAACAAAGTCTGATTGGATGTCTGCGAGAGGCCAAGGAGGAAGCGAAGAAAAAGATCAAGGTGACCGTTCTCATGCTGCAAGGCCTGATCCACTGCACTCTTGAGAAGGTTGGTTACTTCGCTGGAAGCCTCCTGGACGGTGGAGGTTTCATGTGGTTCCAGCAAGTTCTGACTGAAGCAGACGAATGTGTGAAAGATGTACATTGCAGCAAAATACTCCTGTACGCTGAGATGCACAAAGCAATAGACTCTCCCCAGAGGAATTCCAAAGTCATGCTTGGAGATTTGCGTGAACATTCCTGAATATATTGCAGCGTCGTTGACATCAATGTTGTACTCATTCAGTTCACTCTCGTAGAAGATCATGTTGCCCTTCATCAGGTGCTCAAAGGCCAGCTTTCCCAGCTTCAAGATCATTTCTTCATTCATTTTAACTTGGGATCTTGCTTCAGCTTCCTCTTGTCCTGCTGAATACTTCCGACTTTTGATGAATGAGTTGTACAGCAGAAAATGTGTGTACATTTGTGTCAGTGTGTTGGGCATTTCTCCTCTGTCCCCATCCTCTTCTGTTCTCCTTTCTGTTTCTTCTAAAATCTTCTGCAAAACTGTGGCAGATATCCAGCTGAAGACTGGTATGTGACACATGATATGGAGGCTCCTGGTTGACTTCACGTGTGAAATGACTTCATTGGCCATGTTTTGATCGGAGATTTTTTTCCTGAAGTATTCTTCCTTCTGGGGGTCGTTGAACCCTCGTATCTCTGTCACACGGTTGACAAGGTCCACTGGAATGCGACTTGCAGCTGCCGGCCTGGAGGTGATCCAGATGTGTGCAGAGGGCAGCAGGTTCCCCTTGATGAGATTCGTCAGCAGAACATCCACTGAAGCTTCGTCAGACAGACAGCAACAGGGCTTGTTGTGGTCAAAGTCCAGAGGAAGGCGGCACTCATCCAGCCCATCAAATATCAGGACAACCTTGTATTTGCCAAAATTTGAAATTCCTGATTCTTCTGCCTCCACAAGGAAATGATGAAGAAGCTGTGTCAGAGTGCACCGTCTCTCCTCCATCAGATTCAACTCCCGAAATGGGAGGTTAATAAGGAGTTGGATATCCTGGTTAACTCTCCCCTCGGCCCATTCCAGATTAAACTTCTGCACAGAGATGGTTTTTCCAATGCCAGAAATTCCTTTAGTCAGCACATTTCTGATGAATCTGTCTTGTCCGCAAAGGGGCTTAAAGATGTCTTCACATTTGATGGGCTTCTCTTCTGATGCTGGTCTCCGGGTTGCAGCCTCAATCTGCCGGATCTCATGTTCATTATTAACACTTCCACTGACTCCCTCTGTGATGTAGAGCTCTGTGTACACCTTGTTGAGAAGCGTCTGGTTCCCGTGCTGCGTTACTCCCTCGTATATGTATTCAAACTTTCTCAGTTTGTGTCTGAGTTTGCGCTGGCAGACATCAAGCTCGCCGTAGATGTCTAGTCGTGCAGAAAAACAAAGACAAGAATCTAACATTGGTGTATTAACATCAGTGTAGAAACCTCAATATACATCTTAATGTTCATTTGACAGTAAGATCCCGCAACATATTTTTGCTGAAATTCTTTTTTAA